GTTTTGCTGGGAGGGAGGCAGGGATATTTTTTTGCAATTCTGTTACTGTGACGTTTGCTGTTGAAGCAGGAGTAGCAAGGTGGGTACGGTATGGAACCAGGAAATACAGGCTCTCTTCAAGTGCTTGCTTGTGTCCATTCCAGTGGGGGGGAGAGGAGGTGCATGCGTCCCAAAGCTTTTCCCTTAGTGGTATCTGTCGAGTCGGCTATGGAGCAACCTGGAGTGTCCCCCTCATAGCAGTGTATTAGATCCGTGCTGACCTGCCTCCTGCTCAGTTCCTTCTTACACCAGTGATGGTCGTTGGAGCAGTTCAGTCTGTAGCAGGGCTGCTTGATATGCGGCGCAGTTTGGGTTTACGGGGGACTCAACATTTGGCCCATTGGTGGGATCCTTTGAACACAGCAGTGCTTCTCCCAGGCAGCGTGAGCGCTGAAAGATGCAGCGGATGGGTTGGCTGGAACACACAGGTAGAGGGAGTCAGCGTTTCTAGCCCCCAGGGAGGAAGTGCTGGGAGCATGGGGCATTGGGGGAAGTGCTTTGTATTCATGCCTGTCAGTGTGAAAGAAACTATTTGCATATATTTGCATGTATATGCAACTGTAACTGCTACTGGGCAGATTTGAACTTAGGATCTCAGTATAGGCACCGCTACCCTCTGAGCTAAAAGCCAGCTGGCTCCCAACCCGTGCTGTAGAGGTCTCTTGGTCTTATCTATTGCTGTGGTCTAGGTGCCACTGCATGGGACAGTGAACCACACTAGGTGTGTGGGTTACACAACCACACTTCAGTTGCGGCCCTCGGTATGTGCTGCGAGTATCATTGTGGCCCCCGGGTCCTCCAAAGTTGAGTAGCCCTGGTCTATAGCAATTGTGAGTGCCTACCTAGTGGTTCTCTGATAGTTGTGTATTTCTTAGAGTTGTGGTTGTAGTTTCATAGTTAGCAAACCTTACTTTGAGGGGTTCCCCGCTTAGTTTTCCCTTGATCCTGGGGTATGCCTTGGTCTTGGGTTTGTCCTCTGAGAGCTGCAGGGAAACTCTGCCCAGAGGCTACCCACATGCGGCTTGTCTTCAGTGCCTGGGAGAAGGTCATCAAACGGACAAGTGCTCTATTTACAGGAGCTTTAGACCCAGGACAAAGAGGGAGCAGAGCTGTCACCTGACGTGCCTCTTAATGGAGTTGACTCTTCCCCTTCAGCGGGTACCAGAACACCGGCATCAGCATGTGATGGCTTAGCATCAAAAAAGGACTCTTGCATCAGCTGGAGCCTGGTTGGAGCCTGCTGCACTGCTCCCAGACCCCCGTGCTGTATAAGAAGACAAGGGTGTACAGGGCTTGGTTCCCCATCAAAAAGCCACAAGGGGATCCCAGTTTTGTGTGCCCCACGTTGGGATACACCCAGCCGGGCCCTCAGAGCCTGGCTGTCTTGACTCCGGCCCTGACAGGAGGTCCGTTGAGTCTGGCACCAGACGACTCCCCAGCTCGGGAGAAGTTGGAAGATGAAACTAATCTGCACTCCATGCCGGATACTTGGAGGCCTTGTGGGACCTTTATTGCAATTGAAGCCGTATTGTGGATCACGTCCCGCATGAGAACATGCTAAGCCCAGGATTCCCCACACAGGCCCCTGTTCAAGATCCGTGCAGGGCAGCAACGTGGTCTTCCATCCAGACCTTCGCCTTGCACTGTGCCGTCCCCCGACAGGCAAGGACGAGGCAGCCTGTGGCAGGGCAGTCCTACAATCGACAACCAGGCATACCCCTCCTCCAAAGAAACTGCTTAGGAGTCGCCTACTGGCATGGACAGGAGTAAGCACTTGAAGGGAAAAACAACGGTTACTTTACCTCTTGTAACTGTGGTTTTGCACAGGAGGAACTGGGCCGGTGGCAGGTCTGCAGGGACCCATAGACACCCTCATGAAAGTGCCACTCCAGAGGGCTCCACAGCCAATCCAATGAATACCACTAGGCCAGCGGTGGGCAAGACAGCATCCGCCGGATGGATCTAGCTCACCAAGCAGGTTGATCTAAGCCACAGTCACCCTGCCGCTTCCCCGCCCCGAGGCCAATTGAGACCTGGAGATGGGGGAGTATGCTAAGCCTCCCCCTGTTTGGACGTGCAGCTCTAGAGGGAACCACCAGCTGTTCAAAACAGCTGGCCGTTCCCTCTAGGTGCCACATGCCCTTGGCAGGGTGGGGGCGGGGGCAAAGACTTTCATGCACTCCCCCGCCCCCAGGTCCAGTTTGGCCTGAGGGGTGGGGGAGCACGTGAAGTCTCCTCCCACTGCCAGGGGTGCGTGGCATCTAGAGAGAACCGCCAGCTGTTCAGAACAGCTGGCGATTCCTTCTAGACACTGTGCATTCCTGGCAGGTTGGGGGAGGGGGCAAAGACTTCACATGCTCCCGCACCCCCAGGGCAATGTGGATCTGTGCGTAGGGGAGCACGCAAACTCTCCTGGCCCTGCCCCCTCCCACCCAAGGCCCTGCCTCTTCCGAGGTGGCCCGCGACCATTTCCAAAATTCGTGAAGTGGCCCCCCCCACTTCAACAATTAGTGCCCACCCCTGCGGTAGGCAAAAAATCTGATGATTTTGCATGTGTGCACACCCGTTGGCATGCTCATGAGCAACACATCTTGAAGAACAACAGTTACACAAGGTAAGTAACCTTTTTTTTTTCTCCATTCCCATGTCCGCTGCTAATTTGCAAGTCAATTATCCCTTCTGGGCCCACGTGTAAAATGGAGATAATAGAACTTCGTTTTGTCACCAGAAGTATTATGAAGCTCAGGGCATTGACATTAAGATTATGAAAAAAAAAGGGGGGCTTCTTGTTTTGATTTGTTGTTGTTGTTGTTTTTTTAATGAGAAGCTAATACATGAAATGGTGCTAGGCAAAAAAGACCCTTTTTCAGGAAGGTGAAGTACAAATAAACATTGGTCCAGAAAGTAATGCTGGGAGTAAAAATAAGGGCAGATTTTTAGTCTTATGGTCAGATTTTATCTCCCTTACTCTGGTGTAAATGTTGTAGTGTCGTGTAAATGTTGTATCTGTGGAAATTAGTGGAGTTTCACTGAATTACACCAGATCCTAGATTCATAGAAATGTAGGTGAAAAGGGACTGCTGAAGACTATTACATTCTGCGCTGTCAGACCCTGGTCCATGACAGGAAGATTGAACCTAGTGCCTCTACCTCATGAGCTAAAAGCCAGCTGATTGTTAGCTACTGCTACAGAGCAGGCTCATTTTAGTTCCCTAGCTGCACTTGCTGCTGCTAGATAGGACATAACACCACATGCAGAAGCAGCGTGCCCTCTAATTCTTTTCATCCATCCATGGAATAAATTTTGTTGTGTGCACCAAGGCATGTGTGAATGTGCACCACCAGTGGACACACATGCTGCCAGCGGTGTGCGCTCTGCTAATCAAGCTGGGCTGCATTTGAATCTCTCCTGGGTGGCTCGCCAAGCACTCAGCTTACAGGGAACACTGCCCAGATGGTGGGTGGGATGTGAGGCACTTTTTAAGAACATGTTGCACACTGATGGGAATTACACAATCTCCCTTGAAAGCCTATTCCGCAACTGAATTTAGGAGAGGTTTTTCCTAATGTCTAGCCTACATCTCCCTTGCTGCACATTAAGTCCATTACTCTTTCTCCTACTTAACAGTGAATATGGAGAATACCTCATCAGCATCCTCTTTTTAACAACCCTTAGCGGATTATTAGCAGCCCCCCCCCCCAAGTCGTCTTTGCTCAAGACTAATCACGACCAGCTTTTTTTTTTTTTCAATCCTTTCTCACGAGGTTTCCAAATGGAAAGGTTTGTTGCTCTTCTCTGGATTTTCTCCCATTTATCCAGATTTTTGTAAAGTGAGGCACCCAGCTGAAGCTTCACTAGTGCCAAATAGCGTGGGGCAAGTACCACCATGTGGTTTGCAGATAACTGTCTGGTTAATACACCCCCGGATGAGTTGAGCCTGTTAGCAATTGCATCACACTGCTGACTCATTTCATCTGGGATCCACTGTCAAATCCAAACCCTTTTCAGCAGTAGCACTTGCCTACCAGTTAGTAGTTCAACATTGACACTTTCCTTCCTAAGGGAAGTTCTTTGCACTCACCTTTATTGGATTTCATCTTGTTGGTTGCAAACCAAGTCTCCAATTTGCCAATGTAATTTTGAATCCTCATCTTCTCCTCCAGCCTCTTCCAGCTTGCGTCATCCACAGGTTTTACAAGCATCCTCTCCTCTCTGCTATCTAAGTCAGTAATGAAAATGTCGAATAGCACCGGACTTAGGCGTGATCCGTAGCCAGCAGGGAAACCCCCCGCACCTCCGTGTGACCACAAACTATTGAGAACTAGTGATAGAGATGCAGCTGTGTTAGTCTGGTCTAGCTGAAACAAAAGACAGGACTATGCAGCACTTTAAAGATGGTTTATTAGGTGATGAGCTTTCGTGGGCCAGACCCACTTCCTCAGATCAATATGTGGAAGAAAATTGGCATGACCATATATACCAAAGCGATACAATCAAAAAAAAGTGAACACGTATAAAATTGACGAATCAGATTTAAGAACAGAGGAGGGGTGAGGGGGGAAGGTTAGTGTCCGTGAGGTAATGACATTGGGGGTGATAATTGGGGAAGCTATCTTTGTAATGGGTGAGATAATTAGAGAGAACTACTCTTTGAGCATCCTCTTTCAACCAATTGTGCAACCACCTTTAGCATGATTTCACCTGGACCACATTTCCCTAGTTTGCTAATGAGCCGGGGCTTTGCTTCTGGCCTCAACTTGGGGGTGAGGGAGGTGGACAGGAGAAAAGAGGGCTGGATTTCAGCACCCCCACTTTTAAAAACGTTCCCACACCAGTAGAGCAGTCAACACTGGTGTCTGCAGTCTCCGGCCTGCACTGCATCTCAAGCCCTGATCAGCCGCAATTGTAGACATGCGAGTGACTTTTTCTCATGTGTAACTATGCCTGTTTCCCAGGTGAAGCGCTAGGGAAGAGCAGCGTGGTGCCCTTGCCGTACGAGAAGCTGATGAAAGAGCCAGGTTTGCTCGCAGTCGCTGGCTTGCCTGAGGGACTCGGCTTCCGGAAGCCCACGGAATACGACCTGAAATCCCTGATGGCGATATTGGAGCACAGTCACAGTATCCGGTTCAGGCTAAAAAGGTAACTTCACCACTTCTCAGAGAGCGGGGAGCAGGGAGTCTTTGCTTCTTGTCCACACTCGCCACGAGCTGGGAAGGACCCTCTACTTGGAAGTCAGCGAGCTCTGAACCAGGGCTTTGAAGGGATTTGGCAACTAGATCGTGGGAGAGGAGGGTGCTGTAGAGTATGGTGCCGTTTGTCTCATTACACGCGGACTTGGCTGCGTTATGGGACACTCTGACAGCCACATAAAAGGCTGCACTGGTTGAGTTAATTAACACTCGATACTGCTGTTAATAATCACGTGCCCCCATTTTCCACTCGTCTGCAATAGGCAGATGTTCATTTAATACGGTGTGTTGCTCCCCACACTGGCTTCTCTTTTGAACCATGTTAAATCGTGGTGCACAAAGACTCAGAGAGTGAGAGAGACTAATTTATCACTGTCTGGGGGGCCGTGGAATCTTTCCTTAATTATTTAATATTGTGTGAAAACAATAGCTAAGTGACCCTACGCATACCATGTTAACCACGTTCTTCAGTATACCATTACCGAGGAATCGTGTGCATGATGAGCAGAATTCTCTTATGAAGGGTATTAAGAAGCGGGTAATTGATTAATTATGTAGTCGATACAAATTGTATCGACTTACACGATTAGTCGATAAGGGGAGGGGCTCTGTCCCAGCTTGTTCCAGGTCCAGGAGCTACCTCTGTTGCAGCTTTGCAGTTTCAATGTAGTAGGAGCTGGGCATGCAGGCAGTCTGAGCTCACGTCAGGTCTCAGACCACTGCGCCTAAGCATTTTAAATATAGTAAGAGCCACTTGGCTCTTACTACATTTAAAATTCAGAGCCACAGCAGGGGTAGGTCCCAGACCCGGCATGAGCTGGGACTGAGCAGTCTCTGCTCGTGCCGGGTCCTGGACTGCTGTGCCTCTGTACCTCTGGGCCCTCTCCCTGCTGCGGCTTTGCATTTTGCCCAGCTCTTACTACATGTAAAATACAGAGGCACAGTGGTCCAGACCCTGAGCTCGCAAGCTGGACTTGCTTGGTCCTGGCTTGTGCTGAGTCCAGAGAGAGCTGGGATCCCCCCCTTCCCATCTCCGCGGACAGGGGCTGCCCTATGGGATGTGGAGCAGCCTCTGGTCACGCAAGCCTGGGTCCGCTTCTGCTTTGCAGCCTCCCCTGTTCTCTCTGTTCTTTTAAGCCGGCTTCTTCCATTATTGGCTCCTGCTCCCCTCCCTTGCTGATAGCGAGGCAGCAAGGGCGGGGGAAGGGAGTAGTTGAGTAGTCGACTAGATTAGTTGCTTACGTCCATTGCTTTTACCGCACCAAAGAGACGTCTAGGGTAAACAGGCTAGATGTCTTTCCCAGTCTAGAGAAAGGAGTGTACTGTACTAGGTGGCAGAGGTTTTCCATGAAGGGGGTGAAATGGGGGCCAGGCCCCCTCCCTGCTATCACAGCCACATTTCCAAAAGTGGCCTCTAATTTGGCATGTATAAATATTTGGGTCTGCCAAGCTTGAGGCTCTTGCGGCGCTTCTACGGCTTCCAGTTTGAAAAGAGAGAGACCTGGAGGGAGAACCTCTGCAAATCACTGGGCATCTCCACTTGGGCCCATACAATGAGAGGCCACTCTAGGAAATGGGCAGATCTCTTCTGACGTGAGGTGAAATTCGCCCTGTTCAGATGGGCAGTACAAGGTCTTCTCACCCCCTGAGCTCCAATGAAGCCTTATTTTGAGTAACACTCAGTGATGCTTTATCCTCGACCAGTGCATGATGGTGAATTCCCTCCACAATTTCACCCTTGCAGGTTGCATTGAACTATGTCATTCCTCTCCCCGCCCCTTGGGTTGTGGAACTAGGCCAGTTTTCACCAGCTGTGGGTCTGGCTCATAAATCTCAATGTGAAGACTGACTTTCCCTTCTTGCGAGAAAGGGAAAGATGAGAAAAGAGGAAGTTAGCAGAGGGAGAAGTTGGAGAAGTTTCAGCTCCTTTGACCGTTGCCCTAGTTGGAAATGTCAGCAACGAGGAAGCTGGGCCAGTCATTAGATTAAAGATGAAGGGTCCTTCCCACCCTGCTGGACTGCCTTGAAAGGATGGCTTTGAAGTTTGCTTTCCCTTGCCTCGTTGTTGCTTTTTCGCCTGTGTTCCCCGAAGTTAGCAGAGGGAGAAGTTGGAGAAGTTTCAGCTCCTTTGACCGTTGCCCTAGTTGGAAATGTCAGCAACGAGGAAGCTGGGCCAGTCATTAGATTAAAGATGAAGGGTCCTTCCCACCCTGCTGGACTGCCTTGAAAGGATGGCTTTGAAGTTTGCTTTCCCTTGCCTCGTTGTTGCTTTTTCGCCTGTGTTCCCCGACATGCGCCATTAAGACCTGTAACGCAGACAGTTTTGACACACACCCGCCCGTACAGTGTTCCTCCCCCCCATGGCTGTTTGAGCCAAACCTGTCTCCCTTGCACCAGGAATCTTTGAGCCCCGACCCGTCAGGCTGATTCAGCCGACATCCAACAAGGCTGAGATTGCATGTTCCGTGTTGCCACGCCAGCTGAGCCCGAGCGGTGGTTCTCGTAGCGGACGTTGTTTGCCATACGCCGGCTGTAGCGTGCAGTTCCTGTGTCAGATGCCGTATGATGGACCTTGAAAGTACCTGTGTTTTCCTCTTCTTTCTTTTTTTTCCATTTAGGCCAGCAGACGAGCCCAGCAGAGAGGCGAACCCTAATGTAGAGTTGAATTGTACCTCCCTAGCGTCCAAGGGCGGTCGGGATTCCGGTTCAAATAACCAGATCACTAAACCAGCCAGTCAAGACACTCCATCCACTGTAGCCATGACCAATTTCTTATACGGTGTCTCGCTGCCTACGCAGATCGCCACGGACCTAAAGCAGGAGATGTCTGCCAGCCTGCACGGGGTGAATGCAGCCAGCGAGATGCTGATGCCCAGGCCCTCAGGAGAGCTGAAGGTGCCTTCCTCACAGGAGTACAGCGACTGCTGTGGTAATAGCCTTGCGTTTTCTCACATAGGAGGATCTGGCCTAGAGACAGCCCGTTGAAGTCGATGGAGAGACTCCCATTGACTTTGGGGGGCTTCGGGTCTGTCCCAAAGAGACAAGGAGTAGTGTTGGGGGTTAGCGCCGTTGCTTCCGTTTCCTTTGAGCCCACCTCAGGTAGAATTTCACGGCACTCCCTGTCCCCTTTGGGTGCGTCTCACCCTCGGGTATGGGGGACCATGTGTGTCATGCCACAGTGCTTGGGCTTGAGCGTCTGTGGGCAATAAGCTGGAGGCGCTTCACCAGGGTTAGTCCCCGGCAGACCGCTGGCGCTTTGCTCACCTGTGCTTCCACAGGTGTGGCTGCTTGCAGTTCCCATTGGCCACAGGTCATCACTCGCAGCCAGTGGGAGCGGCAGGAAGTCACATGAACCCGGTCACCCCTTCCTGCAGTTCCCATTGGCCAGGAACGGCAGTCCGCGGCCAGCGGGGGCCTCAAGCGGCCGTACCTGTGGATGCTCGGGTAAATCAAGCAGCGGCGGCCTGCCAGGGGCTACCCCCGGTAAATGTGTGTCCAGGCTGGTTATTGTCCGTCACTGGGAGCGTCTGGTGCATCGTCAGAGCACAACTGAGGAAAACCCTCACTGGCGGTGGCGGGGCGGTGACCCAAAGGCTCCAGGTGACTGCAGGGGATCAGGGATCAGCCAGCCACTTGCTAGCTGACCGTTCTGAAATCCACAGCCTCACAAGTCCTCAGCCACCATTGTGGCTTCCTAACGACAGCCCACGACCTGCCTGTAGGCCTGGGTTTTGGCGGGGGGACGGAATCTGTGTTTGGGAATCCCCCTCATTCCCTGGAACAACAAAGTCTCGGCGTTTCCTGCCTCCCCACGCACGCCCCTGTGCTGGGTCAGAGTTGTACAGTCTAGCGAGGAGGTGTCTCCGCGGCAGCCCCGGAGACACGCTCCCTCCGAAGGCACGGACCCCAGGCCCTTCGGGAAGCAGAGCCGCACACGTGTGTGCTACAGACCAAGCTAACACCAGCGCCGTTTTGGCTTTTAAACTAACTGATGCAGAGCCTGGTGCAACCTGACAGAGTGTCTACTTCTGAGGGGGGTCAGAGAGTCCGCGGAGGGTTTTGGAGAGAATTTAAGGGATTTTCCCCCCCCCTTTGCGTGGCTCTGTATTAAAACGCTCTGAAGATGACTTTCTGGGCTTGCCTTCGAGTCGTAGCAGTGTAGGGCATGTGGGCCACCAGTGTGTCATCTGGACCCGCTCTGAGCAGGATCAGGCGCCCTGGTGGCTGTGGCACCATGGCCAGACTCTGCTAGCCTACAGCTCTGCAGTTTGGTGTTGTCCAAGCCTTTGCCTCTCCCCCGTCTCTCGCGCTCTCCCGTATGCGTATGGCTCAGAGAAGGCGTCCGTGACAGGCCCACAGCCACACAAGCCCCAGGCCAGCGTCCAAGCGGGGAACAGAATGCAAGGGTCTCTCTTCGCCAGTCCTGTGCTCAGTGCCATGGGGTCTAGTGAGGGTGAACCTGATGTGCGCGCTTGGGCAGGCCTCTTGCCTCTGCTTGTACGAGGCGATCGGGTTCTTATAGTTCCTTTCAACTTCTGTTTCCTTGTGTCCAGGACAGAAATCGGCAGCCCCGGGTGGCCCGCTCATCCAGAATGTGCATTCGTCAAAGCGCATCCTCTTCTCCATCGTCCACGACAAAACAGGTATGATGCTCGCTGGGCCTGGGCAGGGAGGGTGCTGTGAGGAAGAGGCAAGGGACGGGAATGGCTCCTGGCAGTAGTCCCAGGTCCTGGCTGTTTCTGCTGGTCCCCCATGGCTCGACAGGGCAGCTAAAATAGTCAGCTCGCAGTGGCTGATGCCAGGCTCAGGGCTCTGGCCGTCCCCAGATGTCTTGGGTTCATTTGCCGTGAGGGGCTGGTAGGGCGGCCAGCCCTGGGATTCTACGATTCTCGGACTTTTATCCCTGTCTGGCTCCTGAAGCAGGCGCCAGAGAGAGCCCAGACTCTGCACCCCCCTTAATGCAACTTGGAGCTCACTCCATTGAAGAGGCCGGGCGGAATTCCCCCTTGGTGACTGGTGAGGAAGTAACCCGCCACCCACCACACACACATCACCCTCGGATGGGCCAGGACAAGGCCCCCTCCAGCCCTGATCTGCCCCGCCCCTTCTCTTCCCACCCCGCCTGTTTCCCTCTCCCGAGTGACACGGCCTGGTGCAGGGGGTGCGAAGCCACGTTGCTCCCCTTCCCTCCACCGCTGCTATGAGCGGGGGGGGGGCCCCCCCCTAGCTGCCAGTGCCAGCCCACCCCCCCACCTCCCACTAATTCCCTGGGAATCCTTTCACCTCCCATCTACGGTGTCTGGAAGGGTCATGTGGCCCCTCAGCCCCCCTCACACATCGCCAGAGTACGGAAGCATAGCAACAGAGACATCTCTACCTACGCGCCCACACCACCTTCCCTGCCTCATGAGCTAGCATCCGAACGCATCAGAGTCCTTCACTGCATACCACACCCTCTGTGGAAGTAGGGCGCCAGTCTCCCCACTTTCCAAATGGGGAATTGTGCCACAATGTATATTAAATAACTTGCCCAAAGTCCATGACTGGCCGTCCTTCCTGCCCTGCCTGGCTTTGCAAACCTAAAATCGCCATGTGATTTCCAAATCGTTAAACCACTAACATTCCGTGGTGCTCTATTCCACCACAACGGGAGCCCCCGGTGTGCAGGGCAGTGTCCGAAAATAGAGGAAGAGACCGCCCCTGCCTAGGCAATATGCAGTGCAACACACAATTAAGCATTCGCTCTTCTAGAATGTCAATAAGTGGGTGGGAAGGGGAAGCTAACGCGAGATTTGAAAACATTGTGTCATGGGTTTGTTCAGTTCTGGAGCTTCTTTCATTGGAAATGTCACGGTTCATTTCCTTCGAGGTCCTTTTTGCAAATGTGCAGCTGCAGAGGAACATGCCTCAGAGGGTGGGGGTGAAGCCTAGACCTTATCAACCAAGCTGACAGAACTTGCCTAGGACGGGGAAATAACTGTTTATAACACAGCCAAGCCTTGTTCCCGATGCCTAACACCTCGCGAGCGAAAAGCGCATCTGCTGTCTGGGTGCCATATGGAAGTTCCTTATTTCTTATATTTTGTTTTGATAGATAAATGGGACAGTTTTATAAAAGAAACTGAAGATATCAACACCCTTAGGGAGTGCGTGCAAATTCTGTTTAACAGTAGATATGGTGAGTAGGAGTTAGAATTCCATTATGCTTCTCCAGTGCTTGTGGTTTGCATAACATTATGTAGCAATCATTTTTGTTCCCTAACACAGCAGCAGAAGCCATATGCTAGCGCGCTCTTCTCTTTTTAACACTCATCGCATGGCAGTTCCTAGGCTCATGGCTTCTCTGTAAGGATATGTCAATATTTCCATTTCGAATCCGCCATATCGCTGAATGTATCGCTCAGCCGTGGAGTGGCCCCTGTCTGAAGCATAATGCACAGGTTCTCAGTCGGAGCGCATGTCTTCTGTACCTTCAGCAAAGTTTTAGGGGAGACATCTGAGCTAACGCTATTTGAAAATGAATGTGGTGCAAAAATATGGCTATGGGTTGTTCTCGCTGCTTTTAACATCCTTGGAGCTCATAAATTGCTTTGTTGGGTGGTGTTAAATTATGGATTCCCCTTTTAGGAACAGCCACATAGGTGTATTTTCCTTAATCTTTTAGCCAGACAAGCATCTGCAAGACACAAATGGAATAGATTAAATGGCCTCAGTTCATGAAGAATGAGTGTGCTTTTTGTGGTTTTTTTTATTGAGGAACGGGGTTGCTGTATTTATACCCTATTGTACCAGGGCTTGTTTGATCTCACAAGCTAAGCAGGCTGGAGCGTGGTTGGTACCGATGTGGAAGACCTCCACCGAAAAACTGGCTGCAATATGAGTAGTACTGAGGAATCTTGGATTCTCTGTATCTTGATCTAAGGTCAGGTCTGCACTGTCAGAGAAAGTCGACTTAAGTTACGCAGCTCCAGCTGCAAACCCCGGACGATCACTCTCTGGAGTTTTGATCTCCGGGTAAGTATAGACAAGTTGTCACAGGCTCCACCCGCATCACAAGTATACGATGGCACAGGTTTCTCCTTGGTAGGTGTTACTTGCTGCCCAAGGCAACTCTGGTACCTGATTTGAGCAACCTGAGATGTATCTCAGCATTTTTTAAATGTAATTTAGATTTTATTTGCCCTCTGCTTTATTTCCCTCTTTAAATTCTCCCTTAGGAGCAGCTTTTGGCAATGACCAGGGATAAATTAAGCTTGGAGCCTGGGGCTCTGTGGCTGGAGAAAAAGGATGATTGCAGGACAGCAGGCATGCCTGTTTTGCAGATCTTCTTGAATTTCCCGCTTGCAAATTAAAGCCATCCGTTAACCTTTCAGCTGAAGCTTTGGGTTTGGACCACATGGTTCCCGTGCCATACCGGAAGATTGCCTGCGATCCAGAGGCAGTGGAAATCATTGGGATCCCTGACAAAATACCATTCAAACGACCCTGCACCTACGGCGTCCCCAAACTCAAACGAATCCTGGAGGAAAGGCACAACATCCACTTTGTCATTAAAAGGTACACGGCTAATCAGAGAGACTGTAAAGAGGTGACCTGGAAGGTATTGTAGTCTGCCTGTTTTGTGGGAGTGTTCAGGAAGCAGCGTCCTGCTCTGGATTTAGTCCCTGAATAGTAACCAGAAAATTATGTTCGGAATTGTTTTTTGAATTACATTAGAACAGCAAGGATTGGATCAGTTTTTCTATTTATCCACTCAGTGTTTCAAACAAACTTCCACACAGAACTATAGCCACATGTGCAGTTGAGGTACCTTGGGAATTGTTCCTAAACAGGCAAAGAGAAGGGTTCCCCTTGAATCAGTTTGGGATGAAAGTGTAATAAGTACATTGGGCAGATTCAACAGGTGAGAAAAGATTTTTTCCAATAGGGTTTTACTGAGAGCTTTTTTCTAGCCAGCTGTGATGGAGAATAGGCCTAAAACTTGACTTACCATGTGCTGAATAAATAATGTATTTGTTTTTGCCAACAGGTAGGTACCGTATTTTCCGGCGTATAAGGCTACTGGGCGTATAAGACGACCCCCTAATTTTTTAGTTAAAAGATAGGGTTTCGTCTTATACCCCAGCGCCCCTCCGCCTCCCCGGCTTTGCTCCCGGTGTCCCTGGTCTGCTGGAGACGGTCCCCTGGGATGCCCCGCCGCCGGCTTCCCCCGAGGCTTTGCAAAGCCGCAAAGCCGTATACCCGGCGTATAAGACGACCCCCGATTTTTGGGGGATGTTTTTTAACATCAAAAGTCGTCTTGTACGCCGGAAAATACGGTATGTGGTTTTGATATTTCTCCCCAATTAACTGTTTTGCCCGCTTGCTCGCTCTCTCTTTTTTTTACCAAATCAAAACCAGTTGTCCAGTATTTATACTTATCCCTACAATAACAAACATAAGAACATAACGTAAGAACCACAAATGTTCTGTCGTTAAGTGCCTCCGTGATGATGGTTCTCGATCATCCAAACCTTTCAAGAGTTTTATCTGCCTGCATATGAAACATGCTGTCAAAATGGCATGTGACAAATTTAGATTGTGCCGGCCGAGTGCATATTGAGAGAGACAGTAATTTTCCTCGAGCTATATTTGCCTGATAGCCCCTGGTAGGTCATGTTTTTTATAGTGGTTTCTACTTTTGCACTAGGGTAGGAACGGGGTGCAAAACTGCACAATTACGTCTCCGTTTTTTGTGTATCTGATCTCTCCTCCTCTCTCCAGCAGGGACAATGACATTTCCTATCTAACTCTGTCAGCTTATGTGGCCCCCATCCCCATAGTACTCAGGACCTTGGAATTGTTATGTGTGTATCCTCACATCATGCTGGTGGGGCACGACAGTGCTGTTATCCTCATAGACTCATAGACTTTAAGGTCAGAAGGGACCATTATGATCATCTAGTCTGACCCCCTGCACAGTGCAGGCCACAGAATCTCACCCACCCCTCTTAGAATAATCCTCTCACCTATAATATATATATCCTCATTGTGCAGATGGAAAACTGAGGTGTGGAGGAATGTACCCAAGGTTTGCAGCAGAGCCAGACTCAGGCCAATGCCCTGACAATCTTTCTCCTCATTTTGTGGGGTTCCCTCTCCTATGCACTGTTTTTGTTTCCTCCTTCTTGGGCTCATCTGGAACAGACAAAACTCTTAACATAGTTTTCATCCTTCCTCAGAGTTGTGGATTATGTAGTCAACAAAAGCTCCCTTTGTTTGGGGAGGGAGACAAAAACCACACACCTTTAATTACGGGCTCTTTTGAGAAAATTCAGTCATTCTCTGAGTAAAGTCTTTGCTAGCACCTGCAAAATGCAATATTATTACATTACAGTTCTTTGTGGTGTCCAAAGGCACCTATGAGGAGTGGAATTTCTTGGAGCCTAGGCTATAAAAATATAGAAGAGGTAGGAAGGACATCAGTGCCAGATGTGGATTTCTAGACACCTACTGCCACTCAGTTTCCAGCTGAAAAATCCGGTGAATCCAGTCACAAATTCTTCTTTACTTTCCCTTTCACCAGCTGGCAAGATGACTCCTGTTTATATTATGTCACCAAAGAACGTTCTTATCCCGGCTGAGAGGGTGTAGATGAAGCAAGATTAGGTTTTTTAGAGCTGGACCTCAGGCCAACCCCTGTAGAAAAATCTTCATCTGAACTGTACAGCTTGGATTTGTCCCTGGTGCTTTGCAGTGCACACAGCCAAGCATGCTGAGGGAGGGGACCAAGCCAGCAACTGCCCTGGGGCCCGGTCATTTCAAAGGGGCCCAAGCTGTTAGCCACCACTGCTGCTACTGCAGTAGCAGAGGTGCCTGGAGTCCCAGGTCCTTTAAATTGCCACCAGGGCACCGCACGATGCGCTCCAGGCAGCTCTGAGGACTGGGGGGGGGGCACTGACGTTTGACTGAACCAGCTTTGCCCCTTCTGAGGCCCCGCCCCTTTTAGGGCCACAGAGCTCCTCCCCCCCGACCTTGCCAAGGAGCCTGGCAAGGCTGTCAGCTCTGCTCTGCTTAGTAATTTATTAATCTCGTGGCCCATTTTGATTCCTTTAGAAGACTGATAAACTCCAGCGTGCTGGCTCCCCCCCTATGGAGAGACGCAGTGAATAACGCGTCCGGGGAAGAAGCAGCATGTCTGTTCTGTGGCAGTAGCATTGTGTGAGGGCAGAAGTTCTGTTCCACGAAGGTGTTTTCGATTCCAAGATGTGCAATGAGAGCTGAAAACGTTGATAATTCTCCCCGAGGGAAATGCAGAAAATATTGTTGTTTCGAGTCAATCGGAACTAGGGATGTGAAAATAAGTTTGAAAACGTCTCCAGGTAGCTGCTCAAAATCATAGCGGTGACGCAGTGACACATGTGGCTGGCTCTGTAATATAAAGCATAAATCAGCTTTATACTGCAGAGCCCACAGTGAAACCTCCCTGGAAGTGAGGCCAGCAAGGGCTGCTCTCAGCTCTTCTCCCAGGGAGGTTTGCTGAGGGCTCTGTAGCCAGCATGTAACCTGAAGTGGGAGTGGGGTTTGACCAGGCCTGCCATGGACAGCGGCTGCTCTGCCCAGGGCGGGCAGGGAACAGCTCCAGCCACTATTCTGCTAGTTAACCAGACCCGGTGAGCCTCACCCATTAAGGTTAACTGGTTAACCTTTTACATGCCCAATCGGCACATTTGGTTTTGAGAGAATTTTAATTTTCAGCGTTGACTCTTTTATTCTGTAGGGCGCAATATACAAATACACAACATTTCGAAACAACACGACATCGTTCTGAAAATACCAGAATGGGATGTTTCGACCTGGTTCAACTTTTTCACTGTTTTCTGCCGAATCAAAAGCTTACGGGAAACAGAGCTAATGTTTGCTGTGTTTTGGTTTTGATGGATCTGCATATGCTGATAAAATAAGGTTCTATCAAAATTATTCTAACCAGCTCCAAACGTAATACTTTCTTTCTGCTCACATAAGAGCTGTAGGACTGAGCTTAGTGAACACTTTCTTAAGTGATAACGATGCAGCCTTGTTAGTCTGGTCTAGCTAAAACAAAAGACAGGACTATGTAGCACTTTAAAGAATAACAAGATGGTTTACTAGGTGATGAGCTTTCATGGGCCAGACCCACTTAGCTCTTCAGGTGAGTTTTTATAGTAAAGTTACCAGAGGTCCCACAATTGCATGTATACAAAAGACAGAAAACTTGCAGATATTCCTGCCTTAATGGAAAATGGTAAATGGGCTTGACTAAATAGCAGAAAGGCATCTTAAACTGCCTTGGCCACGTAGCTTTCTGCTAAAGCCGGAAAGTAACAGCTTTATTTAATACAGTTAATGAAATGGAGAACATGACTTAGGAGCAGATGTTAAGGTGCTTTAGATGAAAGACACATATTGTTATTGTTGGATTTGGGCAAAAAAATTACAGTGCTTTTTTTAAAGGAAAAGGGATGAATAAACCCAACATGGTTCTTACTGAACATACTGTTAATAAATGGTATCTGAAATTGATTCACTAGATGCTCCTCTTTCTTTTTTTCCCCCTTGCTTTCAGGATGTTTGATGAGAGAATTTTTACAGGTACGTTATTAACATTCTGTGATTTATTGTCTGTGAATAGAACCCAGAGAAGTAGAGTTCAAATGATGTAATCCCTAACCAGCCACAAGTGAAGGCCTTATGTTATGCTCACCAAAGATAAAACCTTATCTGTATAATATACACGAGTCGAAGGAAAGTCACTCCATGCATAGGAGCAGCTCACAACCTATCCATCCCATAAGTCTCCTTTTAGCCCTTGAAATAGGGCTGATGTGGGACTTTAGTGGGGCATAGATCATGAGCTGGTTATGTGTACAGGGTAAATTTCACCCCCTAGAAATCCATAGAGTATTTGAAAGGCTTTACAAAAGCGGGGGCATCTGTTTGTAAGTTATTCTCTCTCCTTTGCACATGAAGTGCTAACGTGACTTTTTTGATCAACAAAAAGGAAAACAACAAAAATCCCCAAGTACTTCAGTTTAACTGCTTGGCTTTGTCGCCTGTTCCTTTTTACTTGCACCGAGAATAATGTTATATGAAGAGATGCCATTTCAAACAACTTCTCACACATAAAACGAGAAAACAGCAAGGAGTTCTTTGGTACCTTAAAGACTAAGAGATTTATGAGGGCATCAGCTTTCATGCGTAAAACCCACTTCCTCAGAGGAATAGAATAAAATGAAGCACATTGCAGTAAGATCGGAGCCTTCTTTTCAAATACTGTGAAAAGACACCCAAAAGATTGCATCATTGGCTTCTTCCTATCTTCATCTGATGTATATCTGAAATGTTGCTGTAAAAATGGCACCATTTGGTCATGTATTTTATTGTCTGACAGTGATTCCATACCCACTGGGCTCAGTTTACAAGGAAAAACTTATTTTCTCTAATGAAGAGCTTAGCAAACTGGAGCTAGGATCTGAGAGTCAAGCGGGGTGCTTTTATCACCAGTTTAAAAGATTTTACTGGCCAACGCCTTTAACTGCTATTTATAAAGGTCCTACAGGGCACATTAAGCTTTCAGTGGCACCTGTAAAACTTTGTTATGTTCCTGGTTAGCCCTCACTAGCAACCCCATTGCCTACCATGAGGTTTGGGCAAGTGTAACCGGCTGGAAATTAGGAAACAATTTTGTTGTTGATCAACAAGATTGGAAGACATTCCAGCTCACTCCCTTCTAGCCGTCTGGTCTCTGCAGAGCTAACAGAAGCAAGAAGCAGTAAAAACTCAAGTCAGCAGATATGAGTACACAAAAGAACCGGATCTGCTGAGTAAGGCAGTCCCATTTTTACATTACACTTTGTCAGAGTGGAGCGGCATTTTAAGTTGCCATCTACAAAGTATCCCAAGGTTTCCACTGCAGTTTTGCTCAACATTTAATTAAAAACCCACCGCTCCTAGGAAACCTATTTTTGCTGCTCCCCTGGGCAGGTGCTTAAGTCAGGCTTCATTGTTGCAAGAGCAAGATTTTGGTACCTGGGAAAAGTAAATTAAAAGGCCCCAGTTGAACTGTCAGAAGATAAATGGCATCTTTAAAGCTCCATGCTGCTTAGTGTTCCTATTGCGAAGCTCTGCCCTCCTTCATATGCCAGAGCCGAAAAGAAAGGGGATTTTACATTGCCATAGATTGTACATGCTTCAAAAGGAGGTAGCGGCTGTGAGGTTTGGAGCCGAGCAAAGTTCCAGTGTTACAGATATAATGAGACACCTGCCTAGTTTGTGCGGCTTGTCAGCATAATTCTGCTCCCTCCTTCCCCCAGCCCTTCAGCTCTCCATTCAGCTTCTCTCTGTAGCACCCGATTTTCATTTCCGATGCTGGCTTCATAGCGCTCTTTCCATCTCCGAGATCATTGCTGGTGCATCATTACAGCTACTGGTGGGTTGCTGAAGGGCAAAGAGAAGGTTTTCCTGGGGGGGTCAGTACTGAAGTCACAAGGCCCGACTGCTGCTTGAGTAGATCTCACGTTCGTCTAGCTAGCTCAGGTCTTCCTTCAGGTCAGGGTTCCAGGCAGGTTTCTCCAGCCCATGCTGAAGTGCCCCATGCTCCAGGACCCGACTGAGTCTTACATTCACTCAGGACATCGGCTGAGCTGCAGTCACACCATCCGATTGCAGTATTGACACGTCCTTCATGTGTAACCCAGATGCTCACGTGGTACCGTCCTTACCCATACGCAGAATATGCAGTTGCGTAGGGCGCCTGGAAATTTGGGGTACCCCTGGGTCTTAATATCCCCCCTCCCGCCTCTTCCTGTCCGTGTTCAGTGGCTCTGCTTCCTCTGGAGAGAGGCTAGTTAACTTAAAAGTAAAAAAACCCACCCTGCCTGACTTATTAGCAGCATATTAACCCCGTGAAAGAGCCATGCAAGTGGCAACAAAGCCATTTTACAGGCATTTGCCAACCCCTGGTATGTACTGTCAGTTTCCTGAATTATTAGCTGACAGGACCTGAGTTTAAGATTTGCTTTCAAAATGTTTCATTGGCGTGTTGCTGGTGATTATAACATCACAGCTCTCAAAACTTGTTATCCTCCCTTCCCTCCCCCGGCTGCCACCAGACATAGGGGCACCCTATAGAACTGCGTAGAGCCCCATAACACCGAGGGATGGCCCTGCACTCTTTAAGCTGCTGACTGGTTTGGTAGATGCAGGAGAGGTGCGACCGTGCCTCTAGCATTAGAATTCTTCTGTGGCTAATCCTGCTTTTGTTTTTCATGATGAAACCTCGCTGCGGAACAGGGAATAAATTTACCAAAGATCCAACCAAGCTGGAGCCCTCCAGCCCGTCCGGCGAAATCTCTCCAGAACCACACCGAATGACAGTGCTGGACCTGGCAGGGACTCCGCAGGCTAATAACAGGTATGTGGCTTCCATCTCCACCTGAGCAGTTTCCTCCATAATGATTAGCGGCCAGATTATAACACCCCCACGCCACGTCCAGCTCCACAGAGGTCCACTTGAATTGCTAGTGGAGTGAGGTTCTACTCCCCATGCATGTGAGAGTCCTTTTCTGTGGTAGCACCAGATCTCTTGAATGTCCCATGTCTTTTATTGGCTTCAGCTGTTGTGCGGTTAGGGGGCTGGAAACCTTCCCTTTTCAGATACATATGGGCCGTGTCCAGACTCAGGGGTTTTTTCGGGAAAAGTAGCCTTTTCCCGAAAAAACTTCCCCTGCGTCCAGACTCAAGCCGTGTTCTTTCGAAATTATTTCGAAAGAACGCGGCTTTTCTTTCGATGGCGGTAAACCTCAATTTACGAGGAAGAACACCTTCTTTCGAAAGTTCCTCTTTCAAAAGAAGGCGTTCTTCAATGTAAAGAGGCCGTCTTCGAAAGAGAGCATCCAGACTCGCTGGGTGCTCTCTTTCGAAAAAGCGGATTTCTCTTTCGAAAGATCCGCCTGCAGTCTAGACGCGATCTTTTGAAAGAGGCTCTTTCGAAAGATGCTTTCGAAAGAGCCTCTTTCGAAAGAAGCCTGCAGTCTAGACATAGCCATGGGGTGGGAGGTTTTTAACCTGGTGCGGTAGGGTTCAAGTGACTAGTAGAGAGAAAGTGTCTAATCGGCCTTTTTGTCAGACTTCTAATGCATGAGGCTAGTGAGCTGCTGTTGGGCACGGCAATGCTGGGAGATTGCCGGGGGTGAGGGTGGGAGGTGCATGTAAAAAGTATGCCCTCAGCCCAAGTGGGGCGTGTGGGGGGGTGTTTTAGTATCATTCACAGGACACTTTCAGGACCAGATGTGGGAGTCAGAGGCAGTAAGGTTTTTTGCCGGAACTGAACAAGAACTTTGGGTTTGCCCCAAATTAGGTCCAGATTAGCATGGTGTCGTGGTTTTGCACCTGTCGGTTTAGCTTGCAAACTCCTCAGAGCAGGGACTGTATCGTCTTTTCTCACTTGTGCAGTGCGGAGTGCGCTGTTGGCACGGGGAATATTACTTCCAAAGATAGTCCCTGCAATTGGAGGGAGGCAATATTTTTTTCATCATCCTGTGAGTTTGGAGCATGCTCTTGCAATCCTCGGCTGGCAGCCATCTGAAATCAGGAAAACACATGTCTAAGGGGAGTGAAATGAAAGGGACCGAGTGCTTTGCTGGTTTGTGGTACCTGTAAGAGCTTTGTCTGAGCACACAAATGAAAACCAGGGGGCTTATATTTTCCTTTGACGGTGTGCCCACCCTTGCTACTATTAGTAAGCTACTAGAGAAATCAGATCCTCCCGATACTGGGGGCTGATTGCAACAACAACAAAAAAAAGAGAGAGATCAAAACCACTGAGTTTGAAGAAAAGGGACCAGCTCACTGCTTGTGCAGACAAGCTAAGAGAAGATTTCCTTTCTGAGATGCATAAAATAGGTCTAGAAAATCCCCTTCAGGCTGCGGTCTAATGGGCCATGCTTTATAAGAAGGGTTCATTCATAACTGACCAACCTACGGGTAATCAAACTCAGAGTCCAAAAGGTGCTGGGACACTATATGGAGGGGGCTGTGAGTTACTACAGAGAATGCTGTTGAGTCTTACCCATAGATCCAGGGTCCAACCGATGGCCAGATTTGGGGTTGGGAAAGAAGTTTCTCCCCAAGTCAGATTGGGGGATTTTTTGCCTTCCTGAGACATGGGTCACTTGCAAGTTTAAACTGGTGTGATGGATGGATTCTCTGTCATTTGAAGCCTTGAAATGATGACTTGAGGACTTGTAACTCGGCCAGCGGCTCGGGGTCTGTTACAGGAGTGGGTGGGTGAGGTTCTGCAGCCTGCATTGAGGAAGTCTGACTAGATCCTGGTGCTTTATTCTGTTTTTAAAGTTACGTCAATAGTTTATAAGCTTCACGTGCTGCAAGTGTAGCCATGTGTACCTCACGGTATCCATGCCGGCAATGCCCTTAGAAAACGTATTGATTAGGTGTTAACTTGTTCATCTTGGCCTCTGAGGATAGAACAAGAAGCAATCTGCTTAAACTGCAGCAAGGGAGGTTTAGGTTGGACATTAGGAAAAAGTTCCTAACTGTCAGGGTGGTCAAACACTGGAATAAATTGCCCAGGGGAGGTTGTAGAATCTTCATCTCTGGAGATATTTAAGAGTAGGTTAGATAAATGTCTATCAGGGATGGTCTAGACAGTATTTGTCCTGCCATGAGGACAGGGGACTGGACTTGATGAACTCTCGAGGTCCCTTCCTGTCCTAGTATTCTATGATTCTACATGTAAACGGGGTGACTTATGAGCACAGAGCCAGGGGAGAGATGTTCTGGTCTGTGACCAGTTTAATGGTTCTGGTACGTGGCGGTATGTGGCTGCAACTCTGCTGCACAGTTATTTTGGAATAAGCTATTCCGGAATAGTGATGCCAAAATAGCACATTTCGAAATAGCACGTCTACACTGCAGGGAAGCTTCAAAATTAGTCCGAGGCAGGCTAGCCTAACATAGACGTGCTATCTCGATTTAGAGCCCCGGGAGGAACAACTTAGAATAGTCCTGATGAGGGGCTATTTCAAAAGAGCAGAAACGGAGCGTCTACACTCACCGGCTACGTCTACACTGGCCCCTTTTCCGGAAGGGGCGTGTTAATTTCACAGGTCGTAATAGGGAAATCCGCGGGGGATTTAAATATCCCCCGCGGAATTTAAATAAAAATGTCCGCCGCTTTTTTCCAGCTTTTAGAAAAGCCGGAAAAGAGCGTCTACATTGGCCCCGATCCTCCGGAAAAAAAGCCCTTTTCCGGAGGATCTTATTCGATCCTCCGGAAAAGGGCTTTTTTTCCGGAGGATCGGGGCCAATGTAGACGCTCTTTTCCGGCTTTTCTAAAAGCTGGAAAAAAGCGGCGGACATTTTTATTTAAATTCCGCGGGGGATATTTAAATCCCCCGCGGATTTCCCTATTACGACCTGTGAAATTAACACGCCCCTTCCGGAAAAGGGGCCAGTGTAGACGTAGCCGGTGAGTGTAGACGCTCCGTTTCTGCTCTTTTGAAATAGCCCCTCATCAGGACTATTCTAAGTTGTTCCTCCCGGGGCTCTAAATCGAGATAGCACGTCTATGTTAGGCTAGCCTGCCTCGGACTAATTTTGAAGCTTCCCTGCAGTGTAGACGTGCTATTTCGAAATGTGCTATTTTGGCATCACTATTCCGGAATAGCTTATTCCAAAATAACTGTGCAGCGTAGACGTAGCCTGACTGAAGGGCTCTGGGTTGGTATTAGCCCAGAGGGGTGTGATTCCTTCCACAGGCCCCGGGGTGTGCTATTAGGCTAGAAGCTATTCTGAGAACTCCCTTTTGGAGGCTCAGCCGACTCCCACGTCTCTTCTCCAACTGGCCCCAGCGAAGTGCAGGGCAGAAATCCGCTGGTGCTCTGGAACAATGATGAGAGGCCTTTGTGGGGCCACACTGGGTGTGTCTACACTGCCTGGTATCCCCAGGTCTGTGGGACCTGAGCTGGTGGACTCAGTGTGTCCAGCTGCATGAAATTGGTAGACCAGATCTCGGAGCCATGCCAGTGCGTTCACACTTCCGTCTGACTTGAGTCTGCAGCTTGACAGGCCCTGGGTGCTGGTTGAAGGGGCATGTGGGGTCAAACTTGACTTGGCACGCAGTGTAGTTGAGCCCATTGAGGTTGTTAACATTCTAGCCCTAAAGGTCTTGGGCCGTTCGGCACCGGTTCCGTCTTCCTCTTTACCTTTGCGATGGATGGTGAATCCCGCAGGTAAAAGGTCTCTGCCAGTATCCTGAGGTGATTACAGTTGAGGGCAGAGACTGGACACCAGTGACAACCGTTGTGCTGCCTAGGCACTGCTGTGTCACCGTGCTGATGTCCTGGACAGGACACACATGGCTCAGCTCGTGAGTGCTGCTCGCTGTTCTTCGGGTGTGCAGAATTGATCCAGTTTAACTGAAGGTGGGATTTTTTAAAATCAAATTCACCTAAACTGGCCCTAAAGTCTGTGAGCACATGGCTATTTCAGTTTCAACTTATTGAAATCCAAGAGCTAGGTATCATTATATTTGATTTGATTTGATTAAGAGCAGATGAAAGTTAAATCTAAAGAAGCTACTCTTAAACCAGAGAGAGGACCTGGTCTTTTGCAGCTAGACTGTGTATGTGACCCATTCACTTGTGTATGTTACAGATTCATACATAATGCGAGTCTGGTGCAGGCCCCAATTACAGAGCCTTGGCTTGTCAGCTCAGTGTGTTGCAGGTCATGCTTTTAGCCCTGCAGGTCCCTATTCAACCACTGATACGTTGGTCAAACTGGCAGCCATCGCATACGGGCGAGGCCAGAATTTCCAAGAACGGATAAACCGGTTGCTTTGGTGAGGGCCTACCAGGAAATAAGTAAACATGCGGAACACGTGACCAAAACGACGGCTAGTGAATCAATTCCTCTTTGTCTGGGGCTTGCTGTCACATGCTGAGCACTGAACTGTCACAGAGTGTTTCAGTACAAGGAAGGTATTGATCTAAAATTCTTAACACCTGATGGTCACATTCCCCGTGTTCTTCCGCCCCCGAGACCGGGAGATTGGTGTGATGATATTGACTTCAAGGCAACAAGCTCTGGGGAGCTGACAGACCTTAAAGTGGAATTTGGGTCATGCTCTGTATCCTGCCGTTTTGCATAGTTGTGAGATGGATACTTTTGTGCTAGTCTCAGCCAAGTTTGAAACATGGCAAAGTCTCTGGCGCAAGAGGGAGTCTTCCAAAACTCTGAAAATGGACAGGTCTTTGCTCCGGTGCAAGCATTAGAGCTTGCAAAAGCATCCGCTGCTTTGTCTGTTGCCCCAGGTTTAAGAAATGTGGCCCAGGGACAGGCAGCCTTTTACAAGCAGAATCCAACATCCCAGAGTCGCAGCGCTTTGGCAAGGATTCATCAAGGTGTGTAGGCACATGCTCAACTTAAGGGTGAGAGCGCCCATGCGCCTCTTCAGCAAAACACTTGGACCTGTGCTTAGGTGTTCTGCTCAATCAGGCCTCCAATGAGTCATTGCCATTGGGGAGTCTGTATTTCAAATGTGGTGTTGGGGGTTTGCACAATGCAAACTGCTAAAGGAAGAGATGCAGGGTCTGAACTGATTGTACTGAAAATAGATTGCGGAAATGTCAGAACTGATATATAAATATAGGGTCAGACCAAACACTCATTCAAGTCAATGAAAGGGTTTAAAGAGCTAACAACAGTGGGCACTGGATTGGATGTTCCTTTATATTAGTACTAGAACATGAGTTCCCAGACTGGGGGGTGTGAAGGAATTCTGGGGGGGCGCAAAGCGACCCAGCCCCCTCTCCGCCTCCCTTCAATCCCCATGCTATTTTTGTTTTTCGGCCCCGGTCAGTTCCTTTTTTTTTCCTCAATGGCTGTGTCTACACTGGGCCACTTATTCCGGAAAAGCAGACGCTTTTCCGGAATAACTTGCCAGCTGTCTACACTGGCCGCTTGCTTTTCCAGAAAAGCAATGACGATCTACTGTAAAATTGTCAGTGTTTTTCCGGAAATACTATGCTGCTCCCGTTCGGGCAAAAGTCCTTTTCCGGAAAACCTGTTCCGGAAAAGGGCCAGTGTAGACAGCACAGTAGTCTTTTCTGCAAAAAAGCCCCAATCGCGAAAATGACGATCGGGGCTTTTTTGTGGAGAAGCGTGTCTACATTGGCCATGGACGCTTTTTCCGAAAAAGGGGTTTTCCGGAAAAGCATCCTGCCCATGTAGACGCGCTTTTTCTGGAAATATTTATAACAGAAAACTGTTCCGTTTTAAACATTTCTGGAAAAGGGGGCCAATGTAGACGTAGCCAACATGTTTTGTTGCTGGGGGAGGGGGAGAGGGCAAGAGGGTTTCTCAAAAATCAAAAAGGGGGCGTGATGCTGAAAAGTTTGGGAATCACTGTACTACAAGATTTACCTGGTGTGGCTCAGGTCCTTAATTCAATTAAGGTGGTTTTTTTTGTTTGTTTCATTTAAATCATTGTTCTTGGGTGAGGCTGGGGAGGAGGGGATCAGTGTGCAGCCTGCCTGGAGGAAAGAGGACAACCCCAGCCCTCTCTCACCGCAGCAGCTTGGGGCCAGGTGAGAAACACCTCTCCATGGCTGTTGCAGTTGCAACAGGTGCAGCCATGGGGAGGGGTGCATGTCCCCCAGCTGGGAGACCGACAGACACAATCAGACAAATTCTCTGAAATATATAGTAGATAGCTGTTCCTTTCTCCACTCCTGCCTCCTACTGGCCCAAGGGGGTTATTGCTCTCTGGTCCCCGTTTCTGGCCCCTTGATGCCCCCTGTGGTCACTCTGGAGTATATTTCTCCCTCCTACCAGGCACATCCCATTGTCCTGGCACAACCAAACCCTGAACTTGCTTTAAGTTATAACAAGAGGAAGCTGCCTACCAAATATGGTGGTCCTAGCTCTGACCATTTAAGAGGAGTTCTCGAACAAACGGACTCCCAGACAGACAGAGAGACACAGACAGATGCACAAACTCTCTCATATATTTAGTAGATAATATATAGGAAGATATATTGTGTATATGGAAAGCTCTAGCGTCTATGTGTCTATGCATAATCTTTGCTAAATTAGTGCCTGACGGGTACTGCAAATTAGGACCTGATTCTGCGCTGCTGATGTTAACCAGGGTTTTGCTGTTTAGATGGATACTTACACAGCCCTCATTTCCATGGTACCTGAAAATTATTACTGGGTTCATTTTCATGACACCCCAGAGAGGCAGGACAGTGCTGTTACCTCATTTTGCAGATGGGGAACTGAGAGATAGGGGCACTAAGTGAGTAGACAGAGGTTTTGTGGGGAATCAGTGGCAGAACAAAAAAAAATTCCACCCAGGTCTCTGGAATCCTAAGCAAGTGCCTTAACTGCAAAACTACATTTCAGTTAGCCTATCAGCCGTTGACTGCAGTGGATGTGTGATCAGGCCTCAGATGTATTAAGCTGGATTTCCCAAGCTGCTGAGCGCCCACTGCCAATGTTCCCTCTAATTTTTTCCATCCATGTGTGGAATACATTTTATTGTGTGCACCAATACATGTGCGGATATGTACCACCAGTAGAAACACATGCTGCCGGCTGTAGTCTCTGTGAGTGTTCTGCTAATCAGCTGGGTGGCACCTGGATCTCTAATTACCTCAGTGCAAACCTGTACTGTGGATACTTCACACTGATGTAAAGCAGGATTTACGCTGGTAAGCTAAAAGTGACATTTGCCCTTCCGAAACTAATGCCACACCATGCCATCCTGTAATCTCTCTCAGGCTGTGTCTACACTGCACAACTATTTTGGAACAAGCTATTCCAGAAGAAATACTGTGAAATAGCAGCAGTGGAGTGTCCACACTACCGCTATTCAGAAAAAGCTGTTCCGGAAGAGGCATTATTCCTCGTGGAATGAGGTTTATGAACACCAAAATAAGTTGCCCATTATTTTGAAATTATTTTGAAATAATGAGCTAGCTGTGTAGACACTCGAATAGTTATTTCAGAATGACGTCCATTATTCCGAAATAACGCTGCTGTGTAGACACATCCTCGCTTCCTTATGAAAATATGTTATCATGACCTCACTTGGAGTATGTCTAGACTGCATCCTTCTGTTGGCAGAGGCATGCAGATTAGGCAGGTCGACATTGCAAATGAAGCGGGGATTTAAATATCCCGCACTTCATTTGCATAAAAATGGCCACCGCTTTTTGCCAATGTGGCACTTTGTCGGCAAAAAGCGGCAGTCCAGAGGGGGACCTGTCGAAAGACAGCCTTTTTTGACAGATCCTGTAAACCTCCTTGCAGGAGGCATAAGGGAACTGTCAAAAAAGGCTTTCTTTCTCAACAGATCCCCCTCTAGACTGCCGCTTTTTGCCGACAAAGTGCCACATTGGCAAAAAGCGGTGGCCATTTTTATGCAAATGAAGTGCGGGATATTTAAATCCCCGCTTCATTTGCAATGTTGACCTGCCGTATCTGCATTCCTCTGCCTACAGCGGGATGCAGTGTAGACATACCCTTGCTGACAAGTTGTATAAGCCTTAAAGAAGGGAAGTTGCAAAGGTTTACTGACACCATAGACCCTGAGAATTGTCATGAATTCTTTCAACGAGAGCCTTGAGTGCTCTGCTGCTAGGACCATCAATGTCTGTGGGATCTTTAGTTTTCCCTTATGCAGAGGAAGAATTGAAGTCAGAGCGAGTTTTTTAATCCCTTGAAATGCCCCCCTTTTGTCTATTTACTGCACTGTACATAAGCCTGAATTTTTTAAGCTATCCCGTGATAGTTCCTTTACCATGTCTCATGTCTGCTTCTCCTTATTAGGTCTGAGAAGAGTAGTGTTTCTGAAGACTGTGAACCAGGTGAGCAAGAAATAATCGCTGCTTTCTCCTAAAAAAAGTAATAGTGAAGGACCAGAAAAGAGCCTGGGTTCCTTCTAATAAATATCAGATTTCCTGAGGAAGCAGATAAGCTCCCCAGGGCTTGGGCTGGGATGGCCCATGACATGCATTTGCTGAGTACACACTCTTTTTGCCATGTGCTGCTGTGAGGGCTGTTCTAATGAAACCTTCCAATACAAATGACAGAAGTATAGCAAACATTGCTGCCTGTCCCAGCTCCTTGGAGGGGACTGTGCTTCCCATTGGGGGGCTCAGAATCTCAAGGCTTCTGCTGACTAGCTTATAGGAAGAGAGATGTCAGAGTGAGGAAAAAGTCTCCTGTGCGGTGTAGTTTGATGGGCAATAAGGTCGTCTGTGAATCTCTATTTGAAGGATGGTGTGTGTGTCTTGTACACACACAGGGGGGAACTCACTTCCTCTTTAAAGGGAGCCCATCTGAGTGGGAGCCCCCCCCCCTTAGTTAAAAACCATTACAAAAGGGGTTTTTGTACCATTATTCAGGCTGAATAATGGTGGGCAAAAACCTGTGAAAATAGACCAGCCCTGATGGCCACTTGCTGTGGCTCTGCTGCTCTAGTGGCAAAAGTGAATTGCAGG